GCCAGACTTTCCCTACTTTGCTATCTTAAGCTATATTCAAGTCTCTGAGCCAAAAGGTTTGAAGGTCATCCTTGTGTGGCTACCAGCCAAATGATAGGTGTGATAGGTATGCATGTAAGTAACATAAATAACGGTTGCATCGAAAACGCAACTTCAGACAAATGACTTCCTACATCTCTTCTTGGCCTGGGTAAGCAAAGAGTACCAGAAAGTAGGCACCAAGAAGTGTTAATCTTAAAAAACATTGCCTAAACACAGTGAGGCACATATAAATTATATTTAGGAAACAGAATGCTCACATCAATTCTTTCCTGCTCTATCTGATGAAGATAATTTTCCTTTGTTGGACTTTACTTGTAAGTTTTTAAAATTTATTCATCAACAGAAACGAAGGAGTTAAATTACTATAAGTTCCTAGAGAGACATATCCCAGCATTCTATGTTGTAAAGACACTGTTGACCCATTTTTCTGTCTAAAGCCTTCATTATTGCAAGGGTAAGCATATATGTCTAACCTACATGTACCTGTTGTTTGCAGACTGGAATAGCTATGCATGTGATCCAACACAGAATCATAACTACCTTGAAATAGTATGAGATTTTTTTAAAGCAGGGTGACTTGATTGTATGTCTTACCAGTGTGAACTTTGTAGAAGACAATTATAATATCAGAAGGTTATACATGCCTGTTAGAGGGACTACCATGAATGAAATACAGTGGAAGGCTAAAGGAAATAGAAGGAAGAAAAATATTCACATGTAGGCAAATGTGAATGATCAGATTTTATTTACTGGTTCATTTTATGGAAAATGCAATGTTTTGTCAAGTTTAGGAACTTTCACTGAGTTGATTAATACTTGCTTATATCCAAGAAAGAATATCAATTACATTTTTTAGTGAAGTTTCAATCTCTTCTTCCTTTATTATTATTACTATTATTATCATCATCATCATCATCATCATTATTATTATGTTTGTTTCTGTGTTTTCATGGATTGCCTGTATTTGCCTATGAAAACGAGAATGGGCTGGTTCCCATTTTGAATTATAAGGCGTGGTGTTTCTGTGGGACTCCTAAGAGTGGGAGTGGGGTTGTCTCTGATTCTTCCTTGCTTTCAGGACCCTTTTCTTCCTACTAGGTTGCCTAGACCAACCTTGATATGAAAGTTTGTGTCTAGTCTTGCTTATCACAACAAAGTGGGAATTGATGTTGCTTTTCTGAGCCTGTTAATCTTTGTCTTCTTTATCTAAAATTTCAATGATATTTCATTCAAATTATCCTCACTCAACCGTTGTGACAAGACTATAGATCATAAGAGTTCGGCCCATTTCAGGCATCTGTCTGTATAAATCAACCTAAACGCGCAGAATTTAAATCTATTTCCTGATACATTATCAGTTTTGGGGGTCTGAAAAACTCTATTTTGACCTCATTTGCCTCATCTACAAAAATGTGGCTTTGTGTTAGATTTCCTCTAAACCTCTTCTTAGTTCTAAAATGGTTGTTAAGGTCTAGAAAATATCTAGTCTGTAAAAGTTGATTGCAACAGCATTCAATTTTATAGTCCGTTCCCTCTTTTTAATAGAAAATTATATGAGTTAAAATTTAGGTTTTGGCTACATAATAATTTCAGTCAACCATCAAATTATTTTTGATTATTTAATCATGGAATGATGAGTATCAAACCACCAAATATTGGAAGCCACTTTTCTTCTGGATATTTTGAGAACCTATAATTAGTTTTAGAACCAATACCAACAGCTAGCATATAAGATTAACGAGGAAGGTTATGCTGTGTATCTTGGTAGAAACTGTCAAGGAAATGCCCTTTTGGCTTTAAAAGAAAGCAATCTTGAATAATTAGTATTTGATAAAATAAACTTTAGCATAGTTGTATGTTAACTTCACATTAGTAAAGAAATCTTCTGCTTAGCCTATATGAACACCCCAGTTTTAGCATAGGCTTTAGACTGCTTTGTAGCATATTCAAGGAGCTAGATATGACACATTTAACTCTGCTTTCTTCAACATTGACATTGGGGCTTGTCTCTCTAAAACCAACTTTAATGTTTAGAATGATTGAAAGTGCAAGTGTAGTCTCTTACAAAGTGCGACTAGAACTAGAAAGAGTAACATTCTATACTATTTACTGGTAAGTTCTGTGCTGAGGAAATGCATTTAACAGCTGTGTCAGTTGATTTTCTTGTTGCTATGATACTATACTGAACAGGAAGCAGTTTAAAGGAGCGAGGCTTCACCTAGGCTTTAGGAAGAAATGCAGTCCATCAAGGTTGGGAGACAAGGCAGGAGGACCTGGAGGCCGCTGGCACTCACATCCCCAGTGAGGAAGCAGAGAGCCAAGTCGACCTTCTGCTTACCTTCACCATTGCATGTTGTTCAGGGCATTAGAAAAGGAGGTGGCCCATGCAAAGGTGCCACCCACATTCAGGGTGTGTCTTCATACCTCCATGAAGTCAATATGCAAGCCTTCTCATGGACTTGCCTAGACCTTTGTCCTCAAGGCAAATTCTAGATCCTGTAAAGTTGACAGTCAATGTAAACAAGTACAGCAACATAAGGGGAAATTGAGCTTGATGATATATTACATAGAAAGGAAAAAATATTATCATTATTTAAGTAGGTATCCTGAATAGTTTTGTGTTGACTTGACACAAGCTAGAGTCATCAGAGAGGAGGGAGTCTCAATCTTTCTTTCTTTCTTTCTTTCTTTCTTTCTTTCTTTCTTTCTTTCTTTCTTTCCTTCTTTCTTTCTTTCCTTCTTTCCTTCCTTCTTTCTTTCTTTCTTTCTTTCTTTCTTTCTTTCTTTCTTTCTTTCTTTCTTTCTTTCTTTCTTTCTTTCTTTCTTCTTTCAGGGTTTCTCTGTTTAGCTGCCTTGGCTGTCCTGGAACTCATGTTGTAAACCAGGATGGCCTCCAATTCACAGAAGCCTGCCTGCCTCTGCCTCCTGAGTGCTAGGATTAAAGGGGTGCACTACCACTGTCTGACTATGGGGGCATTTTCTTAATTAGTGCTCTGATCCACAGGTGAATGTGTGTGGCCATCCCTTGGCTGATGGTCCTGAGTTCTACAAGAAAGCAGGCTGAGCAAGCCATAGGGAGCAATCAGTAAGCAGTACCCTTCCATCACCTCCAGCATCCAGGTTCCTGCTCTGTTCTTGATGAACTGTTATACGAAAGAAATCCCAAGTCAAATAGACCATTCCCGCCTTAATGTTGCTTTTGGTCATGGTGTTTCATCATAGCAATAATAACCTTAAGGACGTAGAGGTGTTGATTCTAATTGAGCATCACTAGTAACAGTATGGTAGTATGAATTCTTATATACTAAAAATTAGCCCAAAGAAGAATTTTAAAACTTCCCTTTAAAGGGTTTTGCATTGCTCGTTGGTTTATGTTACTTTATTTCTTTTGGAAAGGAATGTTTAAAATATAAAGCTTTTGGTGTATTATGATTTGTTTATTCCCTTTTTTGTGTTAAGAATTACTTTGGGTTCAAATGCTCAAATGACACTTTGTTTTTCGGCGATAGATGTTAAATTACAATTAAAATTGCAAAATGTTATTACTGTAGTATAAAGCCTGCGATATGTTTATATAATTGTGATGGGTTGGTTCTAGATATATACACACATGCTAGACACTTGTACTCAGCAATGCACTATATGAGTATGTAAGAGAAAGCTGCTGCCTCGGGGGGCAGCTCACGTCTAATGCTCAAAGCATTAGTTTTGTCTTTTTGCTTTATGAAGAGGGAATGCTTCGGAGAGGCATTCAGCAAGGATATACCCTATTCAGTCAGTGATGTCTGCTGAGCTATACGTAAGATGGTCAACAGCTTTTGCCAGCAATATATATCAGTTCTGTGATACTATTCAACATGCCACATCATACATTGTTAGATGCCATATCTACATTCAACACAGAAACAACATAAAAAGCTCTGCAAAAGCTTTCTGCAAATTTGACTTCTCTCAATTTCACATTCTTTTGTGCTCGGTTTGCAGTGCCTGGTTACTGTGTGAGGTGGTGTCCAAGTTTTCAAATGAAAGCAGTTAAGAAACAAAATATTTACACCATTCTAACTTGTTTCCTGGTACCGCTAGATACAATGCAGACGCTAAGTCACTGGTCGGAAGGAGCCTCCACAAATCTATAATAAAATAATTAAATTAGTGAGTTGTGTTTAGATCAGAGACCCTGGGTTGCCAACTCCTAAGAACTCGGGGAATTCAGAGTCACAGAAGGATCATTTGGGCTCCATTTGGCAGAGATGCCAGAAACTCGCTGCTCTTGGGAGCGTCCTTTTCCAATAACATTTATAGCTCTAGATGGAAGCGAAAAGCACCATATGTTAAGAGTTTCCTGCAAAGCTTCCTGGTAAGAGAGGAAATAAATTCAACGTGTCACATCTGCTCGTGGGCCAGTCAAGTAGGATTTTATCACAGCCTTAAGTGGTTTACAAAACTGTCCTGTTATCGACTGAAGGGACTTTACATTTCAGGTTTTTTTTTAAATTTTGTTGTCCGTAATCTAAATCATTAAACTATTTTTCTTCTTTGGAGTTTAGCAGCATGAATCATCATTTGCTTCTGAGCAGAGAAAATTATTCAAAGCAATTCAGCTAAGAATCGAATCCCCACAGTATAGTCTTCCCCAGCCCTCTATGGCTTAATAGCTAGAGATCCCCATTCTACCTCAACTTCGACTCAAGGGTCCTGGTATTTTGCAAAATTTAAGATGTGAACCGTATTTAATCAGACTAAATTGATTACTTGCCATTTCAAATGCCCCAATTAGTTTAATTCATGGCGAAGACCCACAGGTCAGGAAACAATTTTTTTTTTGAGCAGAGGTACAGGTACCTCTCTAACAAAGTTATTAAACCTGCATGTGAGCAACACAGTTGTGATTCACCTGTTTTAGCAATTACACACAGGTAGAGTTACTACGGGCATTTATTTTTACTTCTCTCTCTTAGGTGGAATCTTCAGTCTGCAAACGAACCGGAGATACAGTGTAGCATTTGAGCCCTAACTTCTCCAGAGGAAGCATAAGGTAAACAGATACTCTGAGCCATAAACAAGTTCTCAACTCACCATTTCAGCTTCACATTCGCGTCTTTTTGTAAGGGAGCAAATTCATTAATACATTTCCTACCCTTTTAGACGCTAAGGGCATTTTCACTGGAAGTGAAAGCTGCTGCTTTCAGATAGGCATAATTCTGTTCATTACAGAAGAAGGGAGGTAGCAGAATCTTAGAGGGTCATACACAGTACTGACCTCAACACTTGTGTGAGTTTACATGCATACGCTATTCCTACAGGTGAAATACAAAAATATATAAACTTTTCAATAAACCAGAGTGAAGGGAAATAGTGCAGATAATAAACAAGAATTAGCACATTTGCCCACATGCTTATAAAACTAGGCAATAGAGCATACTGAGATTCCTAGAAACCAAAACAAACAATTAGTGATTCAGGTTTTTTTTTCTTCAAATATAGATGGGCTTATTGGAAGGTTATGCAGCCACAGGGATAGACACTTCGCAAAAGTCAATGATGAAGTTGACCCAATCTCAGTACGTTCTGTATTAGCTCCTTTTCTCTTTGCAATGAGAATTTACCAAATCAAAATGTAACTTAAGGCAGGGCAAGCTTGTTTGGGCTTAGTTTCAGAGGTAAAGAAGGCATGCCAGGAATCTCAAGGCGTGGCTTGCTCTTATCTTGGAGGATGCGGAATCAAAATGCTGATTCATAAACAGAAATAGATATCACCTTCTAGACCAGCCCATAGTAGCCTGTGGTTGCCAGGTAGATACTATGTCCCAAAGCGTCTACAGCCACCCCAGACAGTTTTGCAATGTTTCAGAAGTCCAAATGTACGAGTCTATGGAAAACACTTCATACTGAAATCATAATAACATTCCCATTGCTTTTGTCTCCCAAGCGTGAAGACATTAATATATTTCATTGAGAAATCTCGTTGAACTCAGTATAGCATATAAACTTAGCAGGGTGCAATTTAATAAACTATTCTACTGCTCTTGCTGCATTGCACAATTCTGAGGTCATAGCAATTCAATAGAAATAGAAAGCAGAAGGTGCTAGCTTGGTAATCATAGCAATTTTTAGTAACAAAATATGTGCTGGTCACCTTCCACAACAGACATGGACATTTCCACTATCAATCATTGTCACCTGTAGTCCTTGCAAAGGAGACTTGGATATTGGTTGTCATGTAGTTATGGCTGCTGCTACCACTATGGACAGACCCTTCTAGAGCTATTCATCCTTTTTTATTTAATCGTAGAATATATGGACTATTTTCTGCTCTGGCTTTCAGAACAACATGCACAATCAGATGTAGGTATGATATGCACAGTTACAAGGTTTTTACTGGAGATGGGCTTGTCATGAGCTCTGTCTACCTCTTCCTACAGTGGTGGCATGAGCAACTTTGGAAGCTTATGTGTTGAAGAAATACGTGTCTCCCCAAGTGTGTTTCCCACAGTGATACTATTTTGCGTCAAACAAATAAAAAGCCTATTTTATTTATCATGGTGTCCTTTGTGCAGATGTAATGATTACACATTGTGGTCTAACGTAGTATCAATGTATTATTTGTGTTTAAAATCCCATAGCTTTGAACTATATCCTTGAAGAAAAATTGGGTTTCTAATGATACAAGAAAATCCGACAAGAGTTGGAAATGTTTGAGCTATGAATGAAACTTGCAGTGGACCAGTGGCAAGCTTATATTTAAATTAGCAACAGTTTATAGGAAATTCCTGCAGCTTCTCTCTCTCTCTCTCTCTCTCTCTCTCTCTCTCTCTCTCTCTCTCTCTCTCTCTCTCTCTCTCCTCTCTGTCTGTGTGTGTGAGATCCTTTTTGTTTCTTCATGTCTCTGTTTCTCTTGTGTGTTCTAATATCATTCTTTATTTATTGTTTTTGTTTGTTTGTTTGAGACAGGATCTCTCTGTGTAGACCTGGCTGGCCTGGAACTCACTCTGTAGCCTAGGTGGGCCTGGAACTCAGAGATCCACCTACCTTTACCTACTCAGTGCTAGGATTAAAGGAGTGTGCTGCCACTGCCTGGCCTAATATCATTCTTGGAAGTGAGTCTGAACAAACATCAAGTCCTTTCCAAGACCACTAAGTACATCCACATAATGCAAAACTTGAGGTTGGGAACGCTGTTCAGTGGTAGATTCTCTGCTTATCACTCATGAAACTCTGTGATTAATCACCAGCATCGAAACACAAAACACAGAAAAGGGGGGGAAAGCCAAAGGAATAGAAGAATGTAAAGCTTGTATTTGGCCACAGATGGTCTTTAGCTGGAAAGTCTTACAAATTGTGAAGCTGTCCAAGCATACCATGAAGCAGTAAAACATTCAAAATTATTCCTTCTTTGGGAAGATGAAGCCTGTTGTTCTCCACAAGTGTGTCAGAGTGTAAAGGAACTTGTTACTTGGCTTTGGAACTACATTTCTAAACACTCCAGTCTTCATCACCCTCCCAAACGGGCAGTCACATATGTTATTTTTGCTCTCTCAATGAGTCAACCTGGATGCTAAAAGCAATAAGCACTCAAGACGTCAAGAAATGTTAAAACACACGTGGAATGCCATTGAGCTCAGAGACAATGGCTCATATGTTCTGTTTACGCACATGTGCTAACAGGTTTACAACATGCCAGGTTGTGTGATGTGTACAAGTGGTAGTTCATTTAGTCTTAAAAATAAAGAGAACGATCCTTTTAAGGGTAGATATTGCTTAAGGGGTAATTTGGATCAAAATCCCCCAATGTGGGTCCCAATGTGCCTCTTTTATCCAGTCTGGTAACGCATGCCTTTAAAAGCTGCCTAAGACTCAAGCGATGCTCGTTAGCGGTTGGAGAGACAAGCTCGGGAACGCAATGGCAGCCTGCGTGCCCTGCCCCTTCCCGTGTTTCTTTTGTGGTGTTCGGTTCACAGCACAGTCTTTATGGAGGAGACCTGCCTGACTTCGGCCTTGTCCTGCCACACCTCCCCTTCTGCTATGAAAGATTCCTGGAGAGATTGCCTGAGGGACCGTTAGAATGGAAATATTTTTTCTCCTAATTTTCAAAGCTGAGCTAAACAATAGCAGTGTTTTAAACTCTCTCACCTTTCCGGCAGAGCCACCAGGAGTAGAAGACTCACATGTTTGCTGTCTGCATTTATGATTTTTTTTCCTTTTCCTTTGAACTACCTGGAATGTTATGCCCGTTAAGAAATAATGTGTTCATTCAAGAAACACAATCAAAATAATTGAGCATCTTCCCCAGATCTGAGTGTGCTAATTTTTTTCTCCTTTGCAGAAATACATTTGGAGATCACATCCATTGTGCTAAAGATGAAAAAGGAGTGATTTTGAGACTGTCACCAAATAAGAGCTGCGGAGATATGAAGGTTGTTGAAAGAGCTTGAGAGCAGGCAGAGATTTAAATCACGGCTTATTGCCTGTCACATAGCTGACCCCCTTGTCCCCACACTACAGTCCTGCCAATGAGAAGGCACGCAGACCAAATCCCGTTCAAACGGGAAACCATAGTTCCAAAATTCCTTCTTCGAAGAAAACAGGAAGAGTCAGGATTAGAGGGAAGGTTTCAGAACTCCTAATGGATAACAGCAAAGGTGAGGGTTTAAAGACACCATGGTAAACAGATTTTAATCTAGCGTCTGTTAAATGTTTGCAAGCCTACAGCAGTCAGCTACGCAAAACACAACAAGAGTGCAGAGGCAATTTATCAGTACCTGATACAACTAACCACTGGATTTGACGGCCTCACAGCAGCCTTCTTCTCTCTGACTAATTTTGCAACAGCCTTTCATACTAACCATAATCATTTCTGACGTGCTTTGGAGTGGGGAGACAGGTTGGAAGTTGCACAGTCACAGGCTGAGGGACGAATACATGTAAGCCTGTGAATCCAACAGAGAGGCCCTTAGACCCACTTGGACGAGACAAGGTGACCTCTCATTGTAAGATTGCGCTAAGAGCAGAGAGCTGCTAGCCTTTCTCATACCCAGTCCACGCCTTTCTGGTCATGCTGGACTGGACTGGAGGACGATGTAGAACCAGGTGTCCAGAGGCACGAAACCTGCCGCAAATGTATGTATCGTATGTATCGGAATAAGGTTGTGTTATGCTTGTTACACTTTCACTCTCCATTGCAGACTCTCCAATAAACACAATGCCATAGCCAGACATTGGGTTTGGGTTGGGAAGTCTTGTTTAGGAGAGGGGGGAAGGATTATAGGAGGCTGGGGGCTCAGGAACACCAGAGGAAAACCCACAGAAACTTGCTTGGCTCCTGCATAGGACTGACCGAGGCCTGCTACATGTATGTGACTGTTGTGTAACTTGGTGTATTTGTGGGATTCCTGGCAATGGGAACGTTGGCTGAATCATGCTGGATTGACTTGCCCAGCCTGAATACAGGGAGAGGTGCTTGGTCTTCTGGCAGTTTGATACACCATGCTTTGCCCATGGGAGCCCTGCCCTTTCTGAGAGAATACAGAGGGGGGAGGGGACTGAGGGGGAATGGAGGGGAGCAGGAGTGGCAGGAGTGGACAGAGCCGAGGCTGTGGTTGGGATGTAGAATAAATAAATGAAAAAAATTTAAATTATAAACAAAACAAAATAATTCTTATCCTCGCTGGGAGGTGGTGGTGTGTGTTTTTAATCACAGCACAGAAGAGGCAGAGGAGGCAGAGGCAGAGGCAGAGGCAGAGGCAGAGGCAGAGGCAGAGGCAGAGGCAGAGGCAGAGGCAGAGGCAGAGGCAGAGGCAGAGGCAGAGGCAGACAGATCTCTGAGTTCAAGGCCAGCCTGAACTACAGAGAGAGTTCTAGGACAGCCAGGGCTACACAGAAAATCTCTGTTTCAAAAACCAAAGCCAAACTAAAAAACAAAACAACTAAAACCTCTTATCCTTTTTTTTTTAAAGAATTAGAATGTAATCTATTTTAATTATTTGGGTTTGAAAATCAGTTTAACCATTTACTAGCCATATATCTCTAAAATCTCTGTCTCTGTTTTTAATCAACTAAATGTAATATTGTATCTGTTATCCACTGTGTACCACCTAGGTGTCATCTATAACTGTCATTAAGCTGTGAAGTTTTAGTGATAAAATAGAAGTTTTTCTTATAGTAAATGACAAACATTATTTATTATTAATTCAGGGTTCTTTAAGTTTCTGATTTTTTCTAGTTTTGGTAAGAGATAAGATGACTGTTAGGATGTGTATTCATATGTTATCTAACACATGTGTTCTAAGAAGTAGGTTACGCTTTTGGTAATTTGGGGTTTCTGATATTTGGGTGAGCTATATATAGCAAGGGCTGGTAAGGGGCACATCTGTTCAGCCATGTCTGCATGTACTTTGAAGATTCCTGATGTCTTCAGGAAATGCCTGTTTGCCATGTCTGCTTAGGACAATCTGAACAAAGATGACTCACAGTACTGCATCATTGTTAAAACACAAAGCTTATACGTGAATAATTTACCAGCATCCCTGAGTAGGTGGAATGTCTTAGTTTGGGTGATTAGTTCTGTGAAGGGACACCATGACCACAACAGCCCTTATAACAAACAACTGTGCTTAATTGGGGAGGCTCACTTACAGTTTCAGAGATTCAGTCCACTATCATCGTGACGGGGAGCCTGGTGGCATGCAGGCCGACGTGGTGCTGGAGGAATTGAGAGACCTCCATCTTGCAGACCACAGGAAGCCCACTGACAGTCACACTGAGGGAAGACTGAGCAAAAGAGACCTCAGTGCTCTCCCTACAGTGACACAGTGACACACTTCCTCCAACATGGCTATACCTCCTAAGAGTGCCACTCCCTTTGGGGGCCATTTTCTTTCAAACCACTATATGTAGGATCTAGTTCATTGAGCTTGCATGTTTGGATGTTGTAGCATTCCTTTGCCCAGTCACAGGGTAGTGGGGCACATGAACATATATACCCCTAGCACACATATTTGTACTGATTTCCTCATTAAGAAGCTGTATTCTGGGGCTGGAGAGATGGCTCAGAGGTTCAGAGCACTGACTGCTCTTCCAAAGGTCCTGAGTTCAATTCACAGCAACCACATGGTGGCTCACAACCATCTACAATTCATTCTGGTGTCCTCTTCTGGCATGTAGACAGAACACTGTATATGTAATGAATAAATAAATCTTTAAAAAAAGATGCTGTATTCTAAAAGTAGTGTCCTTTGGTTAGCAAAGTACATGCTGGGAAAGTGTGAAGACTCCAGTTCAATATAGCAACCAAATAAACAACCAACCAACCAAACAATCGAAATTGGCAGTGATACAAGCCTGTAATTTAGGAGTTATGGAGGCAGAGACAGAATGATCTCTAGGACTTGCTGACCAGGCAACTAGTCTAGCCAAATTAGAGGGCTCCAGTTTTACTAGGAGACCTTGTTTCCAAAAATAAAGTGGGAAAACTATTGAAGAATACATCTAACAGTCTCTACACTGCATGAGCTAATGATATGCAGACACATTCAA